TACTCTGGTTCTAATGATAATATATTTGAGTACTTGTCAAGAAAAAACTTCCTTTTATATGTATTATGCAGTTGGAGGTTATTCTCTTTTTTATTTCTATTTCTATTTCTATTCTCACCGCCAAATCAGCTAGCGATTTTACCACAGCTATGAGATACAAATAAAGTCCAGCTAATAAAAAAGCTACTACTAGCTAGCTTCTCCTTGCTAGATGCTAGATGCTAACTGTTATCATCTGGATTCAAACTAGTCCTAAGGATTCAGAAGCCATTGGACAGTTGTAGCTTACATAAGGGCAACGACCATGCCCACTTTTTTTTTAAGAAACACGGGAGGGGTAAACGCCTCACTCGAATGATTTTCCATTGATTCCAGGACTAAGCCGGTAGATGGAGGGTGCCAGAGCAGCAACAAATGCAGTTTAAGTTACAAAACATTTCGGGGACTATGCCCCATCACAGGAGAAGAGGAGATTACATAATCAACTGAGTTCTACTCCTGTGAAACAAGTCACTCCATTTCAGCGCTTGCTGGACTAGGTGAGACGGGAGGCGGCATCGCCACATAAGACAGTCTTCCCGGCAGGCGGCGAGCAGCCGCGTTATACAAGGTTGCTGGCCCCGGAACACAACGTCGTGCCGGTGTTTCCAGATAAAGATGCCTTTAATTCGAGTTTTTTCGATTCGAAAAGTTCAGGATGCTATTTTTAGGAAGGGCAAAGGTTATTGTCTTGTAGTACTACACATAATTAAGTACTACAGTAGTACTAGTACATTCAATCATTCAGCAGGGTTTGTTGGAATGTGGTAAGCTCGCCGTCAACTCTGCCCCCTGCACAGCGGCAGCCATGCCATGGTCAGGCAGGCGGACTCCACCGCGGGACCGCCAAAATCCCGCACGGCCCACGACGAAAACGGTGAAGCAAACGTGCGCGCTGACCCGGAGGAGCCAGCCAGGGAAAAAAAGCCGCATGCATGCCTTGCCGACGGCGACGACTGCCGTGCCGAGACAGCACACAGCGGCGGCCGGGGCCGCCAGGCGCCCAGGCTTCACCGGCGGCATCAGAGCGCGTGCATGCATGCACGATGCATGGGCACGGGGCACCACATCACGCTGGCAGTGGCAGGCAGGCGTATATGCACGGCTGCATGGCAGTTGGCAGCGCGAGCATCTGAGGCGGCTCACGTGGACCGGCCGGACCCCTGCCCTGAGCCCCTGACCGTGCGGGCTGCTGAGGCCGACGATGCGAATTGCGACGCCTGCGACGTACGGAGGCGTCACGCGCGCGCGCGCTCCGACCCTTGCATCGCATCGCAGCACCTCACCGCATCGCATAGCAGTCACATCTGACCAGTGACGAATCGCATCGCAGTCCAGCCCCCCCTCCGGCCTGCGTTGTCCGGTGCACATCAATTCGGCCCCTGCCCCCTGGCCGTGGCTGCCTTGCTGATGATCATCGGCCGCGTCCGGCTGCCTGACCCGCCTGCACACCGCGCCGCGCGCCTCGTCATTTCGCGCAACTGCCGCAGTGACGCGCGACAATAGACGTGCACGTCCTACGTGCGGCCACAGTCCACACAGAGCGACGACCGCGCGAATCTTTCTCCTCTCTCTGCCGAGTCTGAGTGAGTGTGTGTCGCGTTTGTGATGGTGGTGGCGCAAAGGACAGTCGACAACGGCACAACACGAACGAATCATCCCTGGACCCTGGTGCCGTGCCGTGCTACCGCTGCCGCTGTACCGCAGGCAGGTGTTTTGACCAGCTAGCTCTGCCACCAAACAGCACAACACGAACACATCATTCCTGTTGAAAAGTTCTACAGCAGCTCCCGCTTCATCGTGTGAAACTCGAGTGGCAGTTTTTTTTTTGGGGGGTGTCGACGTTGGTGTTGGCTGTCAGAGGCTACGTGCTTAAGTGGTGAACAAACTTCACCGTTTAGACAATAATTCACAAATACAAACGAAATAGAATCGTGTGTGCAAACTCTGCCGAACTAATCGCGCTGCCGAACTAATCGCGCCGAGTCTGATTTTTGGCTACCTGTCAATTTGGACAGATGTTTCTTTGTCAGTACTCCGTACATACCTGCACCGTACCACATTGCAGACACTTTTGTTCGTTTAGGACGAAGCAGGTAAGGTGGTGATGAGGTGGAGCTTGCGTGTGAGCTTTGAGTAATCAGAGGGAGGTCGATATGAGGGATTGGGTGGCCGCTCTTTGCCTCCTTGTCGAAATTAATGACTCGGCACGCGCGGTGTGGCATAAATATATACGGTACTGCTGTGCCTTTCGGTTTCAGTGCCTAACAGATTTGACACTTGATAAGAGTAGAATAAAGTGACCCGCCGGATTAACATGACTAGATCAAAGGCCGCACGGTTGGATTAGCGATGGATGGGACTATGGAGGCAACGTACTACTCTCTATTCAATCAAAAGCATGTTACGTGATCATGTCCTGTTAAACTTCTTACGTCGTGTTCGCTTCTTTTATAATTTGTACTTTTCAATTTATTTTTTAGCCGAAATAGTATTTTCCTCTCACAACAAATCAGCCGGAACAGTGTTTCGTCTTGTTTTTTCAGCGAAGCGAACGGGGCCTATAACATCTACACTGAACTATGAAAGCAACTTGACGGCATTCATCTTCGAAAATTAAGCAATTTCCTAGATAACGCGAGGGTTCTATTATAGGTCTATAACAAGTTTACCAATTAGCGCTGAAAGCGGTTCTGACCACTTGAAAGATCCAAAACAATACCTTTTTTTTTTTGCAGAGTTGCACTAGCGTGTTTTGTTGCTCATTTTAAAGACTTGGTTAACGGGTCATAGGCTCATAGCTAATGGCAACATTAATGTTTATTGCAAGTTGGGAAAACACCGAGTTACATTATTTGAGAATGATGAAGACAAGCTTACTGAATCGATGATGAGCAAGAAAAGTCCATGCTCTGTGCAGTACTGCACACGCGTGGTGTAGATCAGCAGACAAGGACGGAAGCGAGAGCCCGTCAATAGCTTGGGACGTTGCAGAGCAGAGAGCCATGCTAAAGGATATGCGTGCCGTTTGATACATATTCATGTTCGCTGGTTGGTTTCTAGGCTGGTTTGGGCTGGCTGATGCTGGTTTATTGTGAGAGAAAAATACTGTTGGCTGGCTGGTTTGAGTTGGCTGAAACCAACAAGCGAATAGGCTGATTATGTAGATCATGAGGTAATCATTTATGGATGCATGCGTGCATCAGTGATAGATACTACTCCGGATAACGCCCTCATCAAAGCTAATAAACAGGGTCAACAGACCTAACAGTACGTCGCGCCAAAAATCAAGTCCCTGGATTGCCGGGCAAAATATGACGCTATTCCAATCAACTTGCACGGTTGATGCGTACTCAACAGTTGGGAATTAACTCTTGTTGATCGTCAGACTGACTTCAACAAGTGATCCATATGAGCACCCATACCAAAAATAGGTAGATAGAGACCTAAAATTGGCCTCCAATAGACTACATATTCGAGAGACCCATTTTTGGTTGTCTGAGAGGCGCAACCAAAATATGAGCATCTTCTCTCCTGAAAACCATTTGCAGAAAGGATTCTCTTTTGGGTCATGTTGTTGGAGAAGATACCGAATGGTTATTGAACCATTTGCCTGTAGCGCTACCCAAAGGTCAAATAGGTCTTGTATTTTGGGTGTTGTTGTTGGAGATAGTCTCATGGGAGGAGAAATGAGATGAAACTCTCATGCCACGATTATCAACTATCTATGAGTCATGAAATTAAATGTCTATGAAACTCTGGAATAAAACTTTACATTGAGGCCAGTCTCAGTGGGGTTTCATCAGAGTTTTATGGGCATTAAATAGGCTGATGTGGTACCGTATTGATAAAGAGAGAGATGATAAGAGTTTCATGGGAGTAAAGAGAGTTTTATGGGGATGAAACTCTTCTGCACTATTTTCAAAATATGGATGCATTGGTAACAGGGCTATGAAATCCCCACTGAGACTGGCCTGAGAGTGAATGTTTCATCTAAGTTTCATTGTCTTGGTAACAATGCTATGAAACTATCCACTGAAAGTGGCCTGGGGTTTCATCAGAGTTTCATGGGCATTAAATATGCCGATGTGACACCGTATTAATGAAGTGAGAGATGATAAGAGTTTCATAAAAGTAGAGAGTTTTATGGGGATCAAAGTCTCGTGGTACGATTATCAACTATCTATGAGTCATGATATTAAATGTCTATGAAACTCTAGAATGAAACTTTGTATTAAAAATGAGTGTTTCATCTAAGTTTCATTATCTTAATAACAACGTCATGAAACTATTTCTTTAGTTTTCTCTTGCTTCATTTCTGTGCAGTGCTGCCACGAGTGCATGCATGTATGTGGTCAACACGCACGGCTTTGTCAACCAAGACAACTGCTCAAGCTAGCTGCTTCGATCAGCTGTTCCTGATGATAAGCATGAACGGGGAGAGTTAGGAGGCAGGAATACAGGAGACTCTAGTGGATTGCCAGCGGTAAAAAGAGGCGGCTACGTAGTACGTGGTCCCGTGCGCGCTAGAGAGAGGCGGGCGTGGGTGGAACCATTCCACACGCCACCACGGCGAGGAGCACCACACAGGTGTATGTCCGGGGCGCAGGCCAAGGAGGCACCCCATCACCTCGCCCGGCACTTGCTCGATCGGCGCACGCAGCATCAGCGCATAGTACTGTATTGTTGCTAAAATAAGCAAGCCACTTGTTCCATTTTCTTTGCCTTGAGTGAGCTCATCATTCCCCCTTTCCCGTGCTTTGTCTTTTCGATGTTCGCTTTGACCTCACCATAGGCTTCCCTGCTGCGTCACGTAGTACTCACTTTCTCCGGCCTAAGTTTGAGGGTACAACGAGTTGCACACCTCTCTTTGCCTAATATATATATCATCCTATTCTAAGAGGGGTGGTGTTATTTTTTACTCCTGAAGCCCCCCGAATTAGCTCACCAAGAACCACCCCATGGGAGACTCCAAAGCAAGAGAACCTCTTCCTCGGCTGCTAGATCTTATCCCGGATGGGAAACAATGGAAGGGGAGGGAAGCACAAGGCGCAGGAAGATCAAGGAACACAGGCTTTGGGAGCGAGGAGGACAAGCAGCTAGAGCTCAAACTCGGTCCTCCGGGTCTCCTAGAAGAAGGGACGACAACAGCAGCGTCAAGAGATGAAGGGATACAGCGAGAGATTCCGGCTCTCTCGCTTGGTTGCTTCCCACATAAACCCTCCAAGCCTGCAATAAACACTACTGCAACTGGGACAAAGAGGGGTTTCTTAGATACCATTGAGGCCAAAACAGAAGGTACCTAGCACCTTATTAGCAGTATTCTTGTCTTGTGCTCTTGTTTTACTAGAGATCAGGAACATAGAAACGAAATACTTCTCTTGCTCAAAGCTCTATGATAGTATTTTGTTCTGTTGCCTGAAGATTGTAATGATACTTTGTTCTATTGTTTAAAGGTCGTGATGAGCACAAGCAGCAGGCTGGAGCTGGATGTGGGAACGAACTAGCACTGGACGAGAAGATAACAGCCGCGAGCGAGAGAAAGAAAGGATTCTGCCCGCCAACATTACAGCATGCCCCTGCTGCTGCAACTGTGCACAACAGACCACATGCCCAGGGAAGGTAATGATAGACATAGAGACGCGTTTGCTATGTTTTCTTTTTACTAGGTCAAAATGAGGTCCCTTAAGGATTTAACTTTCTTGCCCAAAAGTTGTTCCCTTAAGTTTGTCAAATCATATCATTCTTTTTTTCCATAAAAGGTGCTCAGCTTTTACTCAAGTGCAATGAGTTTTTTTTTGGGTGGTTTTATCATTTCCTATACTTGTGGTCTTGAACTTTTCGGTGTAGCTTTGCGCCTTGAGCACTTCTCTTTTGGACTATGGTCGCTATGGTATTCTTGTTAGAACAGTTGCACTACACAAGTTGAAAGTGAATAATAATAGCATCAATCATTCGACGTCTAACATTATCAATGGTATAGTCAGCTATACTATTTCACACACAGACTAACTCACCGGGCCCTGTATCTGGTACAGAAGGCCTTCAGCTCCGGTTGTCGGTTGGCCTCCAGTCAGATCCTTCAGGAGAAATCTTGCTCATGGCAGTTCATCTAAACAATCCACTGAGCCACAAAGTAGTGAAGCTAGCATGAAGGAGAAGCTTGCCTGCAAGAAGAATCCTCTTGTTAAAATCAACATGGATGGAATCCCCATTGGAAGGAAAGTAGACCTTGGAGCCTATGACAGCTACGAGAGGCTATCATTGGGCGTCAAAGAGCTTTTCCATGGTTTTCTTGAAGGTGCAAAATCAACAATCAGTTCGAATGAAACAATTACTTAGATTCATTTTAGAGCTTTCAATTTGTGCGCCTTTACAACACAAAGTTCTTATCTTCTTTCCTTTAACACTGTTTTGCCTATGTTGCAGCTCAAAAGGATCTATCTAGTGCTGGGAGTACACAGCTAGGGGCCACTGAAAAAAATATTTTCTCAATTATTGGATGGATCTGGTGAATATACTCTAGTTTACGAAGACAATGAAGGAGACAGGATGCTGGTAGGGGACGTGCCGTGGAAGTAAGATTCCTTTGTCATTTACAATTCAACCACACCCTACCAACATAAAAAGGAAAATGTCAGCACCTCCAACTCAGTAAACATGTTGATTCACGTGCCTTCTCTAAAATTGAATCATCAAATACTGCTAACACTAACTTGAAGTTTGAAATATAATAGAAGCCTACTTTATTGCACCATCTAAAGTGTTTCTTTGTATGTAATCCCTGCAGTGTATTTGTGTCAACTGCTAAAAGGCTGAGGGTTTTGAGGAGCTCAGAGCTTTCCCATGGTTTGGTAAGCACAAGGCCACCTCAAGTGATATGAGCGGCTTTCAGTTACATGTTTCATTGCTCCAAACTAAGCATCACCTTCCTTTCAATGCTTTTCCTTTTTTACAGATTGCAGTGGCTCCTAGAAGAGGATCAGATTGCTGAAAGCCTGAAACAGTGACAAAATTCTATCATTTGGAATGTGAGCAAACTGAACCCGGACCATTCCCCTTCTGTGATGTGATGATACCTAATTTTTTGCCTGTAGAGACTAATCTAATGAGATGAACTAGCATTTCAGATGCATGGAGAGGTCCTGGATATTTTGTAAATTAGGCTACCATGTGATTCGTTGCTGTAGAGTAGTGTCCTATTGTAATTCTACGTGGGCATTGGACTTCTCAGAGAGTTTGCAAATGCAAGATCTACCAATGTAAAATTACTTGTTCTGTGCGACAGATTTGTAATCCCAACATGCAAATCTAATGTCCAGACCGCAATCGTTAGTAGTACTCACCAATGCGCTAAAGAGAACACTGACATGCTAGTGTCACTGCGACATGGCATCTACAGAGTAGCAATTTCATGTGGTATTTTCAATTACTCTAGGACACACAAAATTGGGAAAAGAGCAAGGTCTCCACTTCTAACCTCCCCTTCAAATGTTGTCTCAAGCACCATAAGCAATAACAAACCATGGAAGCAAAGCATGTGCTAGTGCATTCATGGCTGTTGAGTGCCAAATTGCTATCCTATATGCCAGTAGCAGACCCAAGGAGCTTGAGCGGTTTAGTAGTGGGCTAAGCAGCTAAGCAGGCCTAATCTCCTCTATTTATGGGCTACACAATAATTAGATCTAGTGGAGTTCAACGCCGAGGAGCCTGGGCGAAGGCCCAGGGTCGCCAGGCCCTGGGTTGCCAGTGCTATATGCCAATAGTATCAGGACTGTGACTTCACACACGAGGGGCAACTAGTCCTTTTGTTTGCTTGTAAAGGAATCAGTGAATCACTTCTCGTGAGTATATAACATTATCCAGGTCATAAATAATTACATGGACCTGATGACACCAGATGCCAAACCGGGAAGTGGTCCAAGCTGCCCTGGTGGCCCAGTGACCATACCCCCAGAAGCTCTCAAAGAAGTCAAGATAAACAGAAGGTGGCATTGGTTTTCTAGCATGATAGAGACAACACATCAAGTGACACTTCTTAAGTGCTTATCACCATTCATGCAATCATGCCTATCACTTGAAAAGTGGAATATTATTCATGCCAAACTTCATGCAAATTTCAACAAAGCAAGCTTCATCCTTTTTGCACAGTTTTCACAAACAAAACTTAAGAACAGCTATGTACGGTACAGCAGAGGACTTAAGTTGCAAGGTGAAAGCATGGAACCAGATATTACGAGTAGAATCCTACGGTGTTCAGCTGTTGAAAAAGGGAGGTCCAAAATAAGACGAATATCTTACCCAAAAAATAAACTGCCAACTAGTCCTCACAGACTTGAAGCACCTTCAGCCTCCTGAGAGTCCTCTTCTAGTGAGCAATATTCACCCGGATGCTTCAAGGCATAGGAATTGGGGACAAATGAAATGTTTTTGTCACTGGACCATCACTAAATTCCGGACAGCAGGAAAAGTAGAAGAGATGGGGTGAATTACAAAAGGATCTTAGCCCATTTTGCAATATCCTTGCCTGACATCTGTATCTGCAGTGTTGTGAGTTCATGTTGCCGCTTGCAGTTCTAATGTATATTTACCTGTGTCTGTATGGAATAAATATTATACTTCTTTTCGAAGCCGAGTTCTGTTGTACACTTGTGCTAGTGAAAGCCACAAAAACGGATCAGACAACCCAAATTTCAAAGCCAACGTTGTTTGGAGAACCTTCCTGTAGTTGAGTTATAGATTAACAGTACAAAAATTAACCCAGAAACCAATAAATAAAGAAATTATGCAACAGGACAGAGAAGTGTAAAGTTGCACACGCAATTGGCATCATCGACAATTAGGCATTCCAAGATCGACACATCAAATGAAAGAAGGCTATATAGTTTATATGATGATAATCCATAAATCCTAATGATATGCTAGCACATGTGAACATCTCATAGACATTAACCTTACACAAGGTGAGGCCGTGTAACTAGTTCAGTTCCCTTTCCCTGTATTGCCAGATTTTCAATGCACTGGCATAAAAAACGAATGGTTGTGTCTGCAACAAGCTCAGTGAACAGTGTTGATATTTTTTCTCACACGCTGAGAGCTGCGTATCGGTATATTAAGAAGAGAGTCAAGAACACGAAGGAGAACAGTGTTGGTACTATCCACTGTTCTTTTGTTAGCTCTGACTCTAGCTCCCACATATAAGGAGGTCACTGTTATCATTTTCATTAAGCAAGAGAACTGAATTAAAGAACATCCATGGTTAATATCAAGCCACACCAGCTGGCCTCTTTTTAATGGCATATGGTTTGGTAGTTTATTTATTTACACCACCAATAACTAACTTCATGACATGTTTATCTCTCTCTCACACACGCACAGGCACGCACCCACCCACCAATCCCAGATACTCAGAAGCATGCCCTCAAGTAGGATAACCTAAATACAATAAACTAGCCATTTGATCGCAAGAGAATATGTAACATATTATAGTCAGGGAATGGTCACACCAGTAAATGCAACCTGTGTCGGCTTGATGACTAGCATGAGTTCAACTAAATTTGAAGATGCAAGATATTAGAAAACAATAAATCAGAATAACAGCACATAAAAAAATGGTGCACAGATTCTATTTGCTACAACAAAGAAGAACAGGAATTGAAACAGTTCCTTTACAGCATAAATAGAGATGCAAGTGGGTTTCGTGTCAACCCACTCATCCTGTTTCTTTTGATTTGCCAACCATGTGTACAAAGTGATCTATAAATTAAGTAGGTAGTTGAGTAGAGTGAGTCTTGGGTAGAAACACTAGCAAAATCAACAGTGTGCCACAGAACAAAGCAATAGCATTACAAAAAAAACTGCCACCAAAACTTAAAAGCTGGCAAATCTAGTAGTTCAAAACTACACTAAAACTTGAAGACCTCTCATTGGTAGTTGATCCAACTTGACTGCAACACATAACCTATAAAATAAGAGCAGGTGACAAGCGTTTATTCATCCTTACATTTTCTTCAAAATTTTGATGCTTAAATGTGTTTACTCAACACAGGTCAGAATCAGATTCAGACTTTATCGATGTGAAGAAACCAACACGCAGAATATTCCCATTTACAATTTGCAAATCTGTCCTGTTTTTGGACAAACACAACTTTCAACATTGTCGCATGTTTCTCCAACTTCTATTAATAGTCAGTTCTTTCTTTTCCCAGAAACAGGAGTGGTACAACCCCTCCTGGATATGTACATATATGATACATCATATGGATAAAGAAGAGCATGATAATAGCCAGTTATTTATCGATCTTCACAAATAGCATGAAACAATAATAACACCTGCATTTCATTTTATAAGGTGCCACATGCATTTTTTTAGGTTCAAACCTCATAAGCTTGAACCAACGATTAAAAAAATAATTGTACAAAATGATACGATTTGATTCAGAACAAAAGTACTTTATTATGATTTTATTGCTACAAACAATTTAGTATATAGGAGAATGAAGGGCCAAAGTTTAGTTTTAGAGACATTGCCGAGTTAAACAATGTCTTATATTTTGCAACAGAGGGAGTACTGAACTGCAGTACCTCAGTTCTCAGCTAGAGGGCCACTCAATCCCTAGGCAGCACAGAGACCATGAGAAAGGAAAAAAGATAACTATGCATGCTAAGCATGTATGTAATTCCTGAAATTATGACCTCTGTCCGAGAAAGGATGCAATTCTAGCTCTATTCCTAGTCAAACTTTCTAAACTTTGACCAAGTTTATAGAAAAGACTATTAATATTTATAACACAAAATAGGTATACTATGAAAATATATATCATGACAAATCTAATGAAACTTATTTGGTATCATAAATATTGATACTTTTTTGTATAGACTTGGTCAAACTCAAAATGGTTTGACTCGGTGCTATGCTAGAGTTGCATTATTTTCCGGATGGAGTACCACACAATGTGAAGGAGGCCATTAAGGTCAAATGACTTGTACATTTGAATTTCATTCATCATGAATTGAATGACAATGGAGCACAAAGACTGAATAACTCGGATTAGACACTTTAGTGTTATGGAGTGTGGGTAAGGAGTGGTACAACCATGAACCATAGGCTAAGCCCGTGTATATTAGAATGGTACCAAGCAACCTATACAATTTTTGTATCAGCGGCAAATGTTGGACCAATGGCCTCAAAATCAAGCTTTGGGGCCCCAGCTTATGTGTTATTCGTTAGGTACATGGAGGTAAAACCCACTTGCCTAGAAAGTCAACAGCGAACTGAAAACCTGAAGAACTAAACAACAGAATGTTTCCATGTAATTTTGTTTTGTTCTTTCCTATATAAGGCATTAGCAAAACAGACTGTGCCAGTCTTAAGCTTTGCATACTAGCAAAATGGTAAGTACAAGAACCACACAATTTAGCATCAGTATATGGTAAGATTGTAATAAGGGCTGTGTTCAACATAGGAATGGTAGGCTGTGTTCAGTTGAGGTCAGTCGAATTCGCCCAAGGAAAAACACATATAAAGCTTTTGCTAACAGTTAAGACAATATACAACAATAATTAAAATACTTAGCAAGGGAATGTGCAGCATCCAGCACAAATAAAAAATATAGGCCTGTATATGTTTTAAGGGGAAAAATTGTTCAAACCACCTGAAACAGATTCGATGGCTCAAGCTACAGTATGACACAGTTGAAACTTTCAGCAATAAACAGGGTCATTAATATGAAGTCTAAACGCCAAAGGATGATAATATAGTGTGAGCCTGTGAGGTTGAAACGATTGAGCAGAATACTTTTTACCATGTGCTATGATCAGGAAGCTGATCCAGTAACATAAATGAACATTATTGCTGTGGAATACACCACAGTTATATCAAGGAAAAGAGTGACTAGCAACAAATCACCTTGGACCTTGGTTGATTTCTTTTTTCCATACATTATCAGATACTGAGTTACTGACCAGTCTAGAATACTAGTTCAGGCAGCACGAAACCCCACTAAACCTATTCAGAATCAGATAAGGTATTTTTCAAAGAACTATGAAACTATCATTACCCCTATCTCAGAAGTTCTATTTTCAACCAGAAGAATCAAAGCATGAAATGGGAAATAAAGAATTCATTAGCAAAAGCATTAAATTAGGCAATTGTAAATTTGTAAAAACTATGACATGCATGGATCACACAGTATCACTAGCTGTAAATTTGTAATAACTATCCTTACATCAGAACAACACTAGGCTTATCGCTTCCGGGGCAGGCATCTTTTGCAGCAAGATGATAAAGCAACACTCCTGCTGCAACACTAACATTCAAACTCTCCACCGCGAGGAATGATCTCAAATCTTGATTACTAGAAGAACTGTCACCTTCCCCAGCATCTGCATCTGCTCCTTCAACAAATACATCAACGTTTCCAGGTATTCTGACCAGATGTGTGCAGGATCGCTCAACCAGGGGTCTCAAACCAGTGCCTTCACTACCCATCACAAGAATAGTTGGCACCCCTATTTCCATTTCAGAGAGAGGTACAGCTTTGTTAGCAATGGTACCACCAAGGACTCGCCAACCATTTTCAGCTGATGAAGACAAGAACTGCATCATGTTTCTGCAGGAGAGTAGCTCAATCAACTCAAGCGAACCTGCACTAGCTTTGCTCACTACTCCACTTAATGGAGCAGAGTTCTTAGCACACAAAACAACACCCTGAGCACCAAAGTAGTAGGCGGACCTAATAATGGCTCCTAAATTCTGAGGATCCATAATCTCATCCAAGGCTATCCACACAGGTGCCTTTCCACCTTCCACCCTGACTGGATCTAACTCCTTTATATTAACCATTTCTAAGGGTGATGCATCGAGCACCACACCTTGGTGTGGTCGGTTATCCACCACCATGTTAAGATCATGCTTTGAAGTCTCAATAACCTTCAGCCCAATCTCCTCAGCCATCCGTAGCACTTTCTCAACTGCCTTCTTATCTTTCCTTTTCTTGTTGTTCCCACTCAAATCCATACTTTCCTGTCTATACAATGCATAAAACTCCCTCCTCCGAGCCGTGAGTGCTGCAAGGACCGGCCCAACACCATAAACTCCTTGCCCCACCATCTTTGGCAGCGATGATTCCCCTGCTTCCTTACCTGTCTTCCTTTCCCAATTCTCCTGATTGTTCCACTGCCTCACATCCGGCTTGTCAAATCTCTCCTCCTAAACCTCTCACCACGGGACCCTCCATCCCTCCCCACAACTCGCTGGTACCTGTCCTTAATCCTTCCCCATTTGGGATTGTCAATTGGTTCATTCTCATCATCATCCTCTTGTTCCCTAATCACCACCTTGTTTGGCATCCTGTTTCCCGTCACCTCTCTTCGTTGATACCTGCCCTTACCCCTCCCCCATTCAGGATTGTCAATTGCCTTATTCTCATCATCATCATCCTTAATCGCTACCTTGTCCGACATCCTGACTCCCGACGCTTCTCTTCGCGCGTATTGGTCGTCTCTCGAGAAGAACCTCTCCGCGGAGCTCTCCCACGAGGACGATCGGCCGGCGCTAGTCCTAGCAACGGGGCGCCGCTGTTGCCAGTCTCGGCGGCAAGCCAGGGAAGCACCCTCCGCTGCCAGCCAATGCGGACCCATCTGGCGCGGTGGAGAACCAAACCCTGCCTCCCAGCCCGAAGCGGGATTCGCCCGGGGAAGTGGCGGCCCTGGCGCTCGCACGGGCGGTTGTGGTCGGACGAGGCGCGGTTGAAGATGCTGGATGCTTCGAGAGGTAGCCGGCGCGGAGGAGGCCAGCGACGAGGGTGCGGCGGGGCGAGGACGCCGCTGTGAGGAGCGGGAGAGGGTGGGACTTGGACAAGCTGGAGTGGAGCATGGCGTCGGCGCCGCCGCGACAGGGAGTGTAGGGTTTTGGGGGTCCGGGATGGGATTTGCTGCTGACCCGTTGGCCTTGTGGGTGGATGACCCGTGACCGGGTGTCGGGTGAGGAGGGGTTTTGGGTGTGCGGCGCGCGCCGCTCGTTCGACGAAGGGTTATTTTTTATCACGCCATTATAATTCTTAAACTTGAGACACCTATTCTAAAACTTATCATTATAATTCTTTTTCTATCTGATACTTGCTATTTTCTACGTCTTCCGAGTGTCTGGACCCATTGTCAGGCCATATACGTGTACACATCTTCTGTATGGACTAAAACACCCCCTCCTGCTTCTCTCCCTCCACTCACTGACGTGTGGGCTCCACACGTCAGATTCTCCTTCAACCTCCAGCCATCCTGAAAGGACGGCGTCCGGCGAGATGGGAGGGGCAGGCGGACACTTCGAGCCCGACCTCCCGCGTGGGAGCTCCGTCCAGGTCATGGCCGCACGCATGCGACGGGCAGGCCTCTCCCCGACGCCGGCAGCCATGGCCCGTGTCTCCCCGCCGCTAACCCGCCACCGTTGTAGCCACCATCGGCGCTTGTCGTGTTTTGCGCGAGCGCGTCTCTACTAACCCGAAGGCATGATGTCATGGGTGCTTGCCACGCCCCAGAGGGCGCGACGGGCGAAAGCAAAGAAGCCGCCGCCAGCAGATCCGCCCATCCTTGCGCCCTCGCCACGCTCACGGCCTTCGACAAGCCCAACTCATTTGCCGCCCGAGGCACGGCCGAATAGTAGCGGGCGCCGCCGCCACCTCCCCAAGATGCTACGCTTAGGAACACGGCGAACGCAGACAAAGACCACTACCATGCCGAAAGCAAAGATGAGCCCTAGGAACAAATTTTGAGCAACATCTCTGCGCCACCATGGAGTCACGAGGCGAAGCGACCACCACCGCCGCCGCCGCCGCTTTCTCCAAACCCTCCCCTCGTTGGACGGTGGAGGAAGAGGAGACTCAAGGAGTAAGATGGCTGGAGGTTGAAGAAGAATCTGACGTGTGGGGCCCACACGTTAGTGAGTAGAGGGAGAGAAGCAACAGGGGGTGTTTTGGTCCATACGGAAGATGTGTACACGTATACGGCCTGATAGTGGGTCCCATACAATCTAAAGACATAAAATGGCAAGTACCAGGTAGAAGAAGAATTATAATGACAAGTTTCAGAATAGGTGAATTGTAATGGCAGATCTCTAAAGTTAAAGAATTATAATGGCGTGGATCCAAATAACACTTCGACGAAAGGCTACGACGGCGGCGGGGATGGTAGAAAGGGTTGTTTTCTGCGGAAGCCTTCAGTTTGTGAGAATTGATAATTATACAACGGAAATGCTCCTCTGTGTGGTTCGGCAGAACGGACGGACCGGATCGGATTACATGGCCAGATGCCCCAACTGCCTCGAGTCGCGCTTCCTTCCGTGGCTGCGCTCCATCCACCGGGCGAGATGCCTCGTGTTGGCCTCCACACACCGCCGCGAGCTCCATGTCTTGCCGCCGACTCCACAGCGCCGCCGCATGAAGCTTCATGTCGCCGTCGCCGATCGACAGCTGCGCCGTGTTGAGCTCCGAATGACGAGCCTCCATTCGTCGAGGCAAAGAAGGTGATAATGTTGCAAGCGTATGTTTCAAAGTGTTTGAGATACTTTAGAGGTATGCTACAAGTGCAGTGCGCGTTGCATACGTTGCAATGACTAGACACGTATGTTTCAAGTGTATGATCCAGATGTTTCACGTATGTTACAAATGTTTTTCATCTGGATGTTGCGATGTTTGCAATGACTACACACGTGTTTTCAAGTTTTTCTGGTGTTCTGCAAGTGCTTCAGACATATGTTGCAAGTGTTTCAGCTGTTTTGGACGTATGTTTCAAGTGTTTCATCTGAATATTGTAAAAGTAGATCGGATGTTGCACATATTGAATGAAACCCACTTGTCACAGCCGCCTGCTGCAGCTGCTGGGGCGCTGCCGAGCGGGCAGACGGTCCTCACGTGCGGTTGGCGGCGCGGAAGACATCCGGACGGCGTTGGCCCTGCGTGGGCCCGCGAAACGAGCAGACACGGGGAACGGGGTGCAGGGAATGGGCTAGCATGCGCGGGCATCCATCTAGACGTCTGGGTGCTAGCGTCTCCGATTATACAAACATTTTTTCAAACGATAATCCAGAGACTTGCAGGAGAAAAAATTTCTTATTTATTACAAGTGATGATTTTTTCTAGCTCAAAACTTTTATGTTAGACCGTCACATAATCTTTTTAATCTATTCAGTGTTGCCTTGATATCAACCTCTAGTGACAGCGCGGGTGGATTTTCACACATAGGTCACTATTTAAACTTTAAAAGGGTCCCATATTTAAACAACTAAAGGGGTGTTTAGATCCGGTGACTAAAATTTAGGAGGTGTCACGCGAGGATGTCGCATGGGGTGTTCGGATACTTATAAAAAAATAAATTACAGAATCCGTCAGTACTCTACGAGACGAATTTATTAAGCCTAATTAATCCGTCATTAGCATATGTTACTATAGCACTACATTGTCAAATCATGAACTAATTAGACTTAAAAGATTCGTCTCGCAAATTAGTCACAAGCTGTGCAATTAATTTCGTAATTAGTCTATATTTAAAACTCCATACATGTGTCATAATATCCTATGGAACAGCGACTAGTCCATGTGTTTGGTGCCCCTTCTGGGTGTTCCGTCTCCGGCTTCCAGAGCACTTCAGCACCGTACAACACTGTTTGATCAGTTCCAACTCCAACAAAAATGATATACCAAAAGAAAGAGCCAGAGGAGCTGTATACTTTGGGCTTCTCCCAAAGGAGACGAAGCTGAAAGTATTTCCAAACGGGGCCTAAATCGTGGCACCAAGTCACATGTTACTAGCAGATCACATGTTCTTCGTTTTCTCAATGTTACATGCACTTAATTTTCATGTTTGTTTAGTTGATACAATGGCTTCAAAGTGTACAAATGAATTCATGATGTGCTTAATATCCTTGTGAAAAGAAAAATATCGCCCTGTTCGCTTGGTTTATAAGCCATACTTTTTCAGCCAACGAATAATATTTTTCTCTCACAACAAATCAGCCAACAGTACTTTCAGCCATGGCTTATCAACCAAGCGAACGGGGCAATAGATGCTGTGCTTTACTTCTATATTTGTCCTTGAAGGCAAGTCTACACTTTAAGGATTCCTTTGTCGCAGCTGGTGGGATTATAGCCCAGGATGTGCTGGTGATGTTCGACTGATCGAATGACTGATACTCGTGCAAATGAAGCAGAACGTGGTATTACAATAAGTCCACTGGTATCTCTCTTTTTAAGATGAGTAACGAGTTAGTCAGGTGTTATAACAGTGATAGAGATGGACCTGATCAACCTTTGTCGGTGTTTGTTGATCGACAACTCGTCACGGAGCTACTCAGGACGATTGTTCGGAGGGCTTCGACGTATGCAGAACTCGATGGTAAACGCATATACAGTGATTTATACTGGTTCAGACCGCTGGGTAGCGTAATACCCTATGTCTAGTTTAGGGTGGATAGTATATTGCGCCCTGCGCTTGGGATTTAGACTGTTGAGTCTGTTGTCCTGGCCGATCTAGAGAACCTTGCCTTCCTTTATATAACTCAGAAGGCAAGTCTCCTAGTCGGTTACAATAAAGGAGTCCTAGTAGGATTACAAGGTGGTAATGCTACTAGAATTACATACGAAGAGTCCTAGTCAGACTAGGTCTTCGTCTTTCCTTGCAGGGTACTCGGGGACTATGGCCCTGATCGCTTGTCTTATAATCCGTACTTTTTAGCTTATTTTTTCAGCCGGAACAGTATTCTTCTCTCACAATAAATCAGTCAGAACAGTGTTTCGACTTGTTTTTTCAGCGAAGCGAACAAGGCTCGTCCCACGAGCCCCCGAGCTCTTCATGGTTGATCGATGGAAGACTTCTTGAATCTTTTGGAGCATACCGAGTAGAATCAAGCTTCATCCGAGTACTTTCTTGAAAGAAACCATGATGTGCTCTTGAAATCAATATGCGTCACCGCCAGGTGAACCATATATGCTTAGCCCTAGCCTCTTGCTATTTAGAATAAAGAGCTGGAGGGTCTTATCTGCAATTGCTCCAATTCCTTTTCAAGAAACTTGAAAGCATCCGCTGAGAATATATGTCCCGCAACCCCCGAACCTAAAGCCAACTACTCGGAGTCGACTATAGGATCTTTGTAGACGTCCTCAAGGGTGCAGTTGAGTAACCTCCCAAGACAATGATCGAAGATCACTTGTTGCCGAGTGGTTGAGTGCTTGTAAACTCTTCCATCCTTGAATTCGAGCCGTCAAGCATAATCGGAGTGACATCGACTAAGCTGAGGGAGTAGTCGAGCCCACGAGCTTAGTACCGGCTAAGCCATGGAGGTGAAGAAGCTTGATCGAAGTGGCAGAAGTAGAGCACTTTGTGAGCCCAAGGCTTCGGGTGGGCAGTCTCCTCATCGGAGACCCCGTATCACCCCAACCTCAGAACCCCCAAATCTCTGTAATAAGCCATGGAGGCAAAGAAGCCTGATCGAAGCGGCAGAAGTAGCCAACATGGTGATCGAGTAAGGCAGCTCTCAAGAGCATACCCCACCCAGCGATGCAATGACCGAGTAAAGCAGCCTGCGGAGGCGCGTGCTTCACCCAGTGAAGTAGTGGCCGAGTAAGGCAGCCCGCGGAGACGCGTACCTCACC